AGCTTGTGGTCTGGACAACATACCTGACAACATACCTATAGTCTTGCAGAAGTGTTCTATACTTTCTGTCGTCTATACTTTCAAAACTATTCAACAAGTGCTTATCAGAGTCTTGCCTTCCAGTCTGATGGAAAGCAGCATCTGTTATCCCTATTTTCAAAAAATCTGGAAAGCGATCTGATTTGTCTAACTACTGTCTTATTAGTCTTTTTCCTATCATAAGTAAGGTTTTTGAATCTTGAATTAACTAACACTTAATCTCTCATCTTGAATCTAATAACTTTCGATCTTCTCGTTCTACAGCTGATTTGCTAACACTAATAACCGATAAGTTTTATCGTGATAAAAGTGGAGAGGTTAGGCCATCACTCTTAACATTTCTACAGCTTTTGATAAAGTTTGGCATGTTGGTCTTCTCCATAAGCTTTCTTCTTACGGTGTGGTAACATCTTTAAGATTATTGAATCATTCCTTTCCAATTGTAGTATAAAAGTTGTCCTCGATGGACAGCACTCTTCTTATTCAGTAACTTCAGAGGTTCCTCAAGGTTCAATCCTTGGCCTTATACTCTTTTTAATTTACATTAACGATCTTCCAGATATTCTTACATTTGAATTGGTATTGTTCCCTGACGATACTACCATTTATTCTTGTCATGATAAGAAGCCAACACTCTCTGATTGCTTGGAGGGGTATTTGAACTTGAAAGGAATCACTTCTGCTACAGCATGGGGCTCACAGTGGCTGGTGAACTTTAATTCAGATAAAACTCAATTTTTTTCAGACAATCATTATCGCAATAATTTAGACATTCTTATATTTATGAACAGTAATGTACTCGATGAGTCATCTACCCTTCATCTTCTAGGACTATAACTTCCCATCTTTCTTGAAAACCATATCAAACCAGTTGCAAAATTAGCATCTGCTAAGATTGCATCTCTTTATCGAACTCGACACTTTCTTATTTCTAATTCTATTCTTTCTCTATAAATCTCAAAACCGTACTTGTATGGAATACTGTTGCCATATAAGGAACGGATCTTCTAATGAAATCCTTTCTCTTTTAGGCAAGGCGCAAAAACGCATTGTAAACATATTTGGACCTGCTCTTACAGCCAACCCTCAACCCAAGGCTGTGGAGTCAGAGTATCGGTATTGCACTGCATCTACAAAACATTCAATTAACCTTATGTTTATATTAAACCTCAAAGAATGCTTCATAAATTTGTCAAAAAAGAAATATTTAACTTATAGCATAATATTTTTTTAGGAATTCAAAGAATTTTTCAAAATTTTTGCTTTGGAGTTGATGAGTTTGGAGCCGAAGTTGGAGTTGGAGCCATTACTTTTTTTTGACAATTCCACACCCCTGCTTCAAACATTATCACATTGTCATAATGTTGCTTCTCTTTCTTTTTTCTACAAATACTATAATGGACACTGCTCTAAAGAGCTAGTGTCTCTTGTGCCATCTACTAAAATTTACCCTTGTGTTACCCATCATTCAATTAAGTCTCATCCTTTTTCTATGACTGATCCTAAGTGCTCCAAAAACTCTTATTCCTCTAGTTTTTTTTCTCGAACATCAGTACTTTGGAATTCGCTTCCTTCATCTTGCTTTCCTGATTCATATAACTTGCAATCTTTTAAGTTGTCTGTCAACCGTTATCTTGCTCTACAATCATCTTTTCTCTTCCAGAACTTCCAACTCTAATTAGTGGTTGCTTGCAGTCTTGTTGGAAGCAAAGATGTTAAAAAAAAAAGAAAAAAAAAGAAAGAGATTGCAAATACAAGGTTTCACAATATAAATAGTATAGAGTTCATCTAATGCAACAGCTTGTTATATTTCATGCAAACTACGATAAAAATTAAAGAATTATATTATTTGGATTATCTTGAGAGTTAAAACCATATATCTAGCAGCATTTTGGTATACTCAAAAGGCAAAAAAAGTAAAAGGAAGATAAATTTATTGATACATTCTAAAACACAAGCAGAAAATTTTTTTAGATTTTTTAATTATCATTATTTTAGTTTTAGTATTCAATCATATATATATATATATATATTTATATATTTAAATATATATATATTTTTTAAGTTGATTTAGGTGCCCCAAGAAGTCCTTGCAGTCTTATCACAGAGCACTGCGGAAGAGCATTTAATAGGAAGTTTACGCCTCCTTCCCAAATGTCACAAAACTTGTCCAGAGGTGGGGTTTGAACCATGGATCTTACATTTCTGAGGCAAGTGCGCTATTACTGCACCATGGCTACTAATATATAAATGTATATGTATATGTATATATACGTCAAATAGCCTGCTGCCAGGGGCTTCAGTACATACATTGACTGACAAATAGCCTGACTCGCAGTGGAGTGCTGCTACATCGACTGAGGGTTTGGTATGGGTCAGCAACATTTTCATTCATTATTCTTCGTTTTCTCTCATCGTTTTCTAAAAACGCTCACAATTGCGCATATAAATATGCTATAGTAGATATATATACATATATATATATATATATATATATATATACATATACATATACATATATATATATATATATATATATATATATATATATATATATATATATATATATATATATATATATATATATATATATATATATATATATATATATATTAGATAGATATATAGTTATAATATCTTTTAGATAAGTTAAAAGCAGTTATTAAATTGCAGAAATTGAAAAAGGTTTTCAATGTTATTTTTTAAACATTTTTTTTCTCTGAAATAAGTTTACTTGGGGTAAAACTCTGAATAAATTGAATTGTTATTTTCACCCTCTTGATGCAACTGCTACTAAATGCCATTCAGTAATGAAGTCTTTAAACACAGAAAAATGTAAATTATTTGGCAATCATTGTGTAGCTGTCAAAAATATTTTGGTTATGAATAAGACGAGGTTTAAAGATGGCAAAGGTAATCTGCAGGGATTTGTAAATTTTTTGACCACAAAAAAACCCCAAGGTGTATCACCCATAGTTATAGAGGAAACCATTTCATATTCTTTTTCATACTTGCTTTATTTTTATTAAACACTATGCTGATTTTCTACATTTTCTGATCACTGGAATATTAAAATGTAGTAGTTTGCAAGCTGCTCTACAAGCAGCATTTTGTAAATAAGTGGTCATTTATAAATGTAGTTAAGTGGTCCATTTTCTACTACAACATGCTCAAATTCGATCTTTATTTTATAAGAGGCAGACTTTCAAGCCTCAAATGTTAGATAAAAAAGAAAAAAGAAAATTAGAACGAAATTTATATGATTTAGATGATGTAGATGATGCTATGTCTGAGAGAACTGTTGGTAGATACTGATACTGAAAAGTTTAAGTATGTCGTATACCATGGTAGAGTAGAAAAGTAAAAAAAATTGTAAAACAGAATTTACAATATTTCTAACTGGAAAAAAAATAAAACTGATTTTGAAGCTGTTGATTATTGCATGAAAAATTCCAGCTGGCTGCAGATGTTATATCAGGAGAATTAATATTTTTTTAATGTTAAAGTGTATTATTTGTGTTTTAAGTTAATATGTATTGTTTTCATAATTGTAATGTTTATTAATTCCAAAATAGATACTGCAAGTGTTATAACTTGCATAAAAATATCTTAAGTGTTGTGACTTGCAATAAGGTAACCACCATCTGCATAAATCTAACCATCAAGTGTTGTGACTTGCACAACTTTTTTGTGCAAGTCACAACACTTGTTCAAACAGCCCATTCCCTAAGAACTAAAATACTCTTTTCGCATCTTGTATTAAAAAAGTGTTACAATATTTGTTTATTCTAATTTCTATAATTTTAATTAATATATTTATAAAACATTTTTCAATTTTAAATTGAAAAAAAAAAATTTATAATTATTATTTCCCATTGAAGGGGGACACTCTCTTTCCCCTGTGAAAATGGATAAACAATGCATCTTGTAAAGTGGTAAAATGGTATGCATCTTGTAAAGTGGTTTATACTTATATTTTTACATTTGAAAATATTTAAAAAACTTTTTATGGGGGAAGGGGGTGCAGCAGCAGTTGGCACAAGCCCTTCCCTTTAAGTCAAAGTTACACTTCTCATATTTGGTTGTGGTCTAGGAGCAAAATATAAGAACTTCTGTTTCATAAAAAAGTTATTTTACATTAATAAAATACTTTGTTATAAAAAAATGTTACATTTATTAGGGGTAAAAGTCATAGTACAGGGCCCCATCTAGCTGTCAGCTTACGCCCTACGGCTAGATGCTACTATAAATTTGTAGCTCACACTTATTTCTTTTGATACCTATTTATAAACATTTTGACAAGAATTGGTAAAGCTATAACAATTTGCGTTAGAAAAAAATTATTTTGACAACAGTTTCATTAACAATTCCGTATATTCAAAAATCATCATGAATGCTTTTTCGAACAATATATAACAATATGATATTTAGTAAATTTGAAAATTTTATTTCGCATACCTAATATATATATATATATATATATATATATATATATATATATATATATATATATATATATATATATATATATATATATATATATATATATATATATAAATGGATTTTGATTTTATTGTTTTGTATTTTCATGTGTTAAAACTTTTTATAGTTTTAATAAATTTTAAATATGTTAAAAAATAAATTTAGTCAAATAAGTTTGCTTTTTCAATGAGTATTCAACTTGGAGGGTTTTTTTTTTTTAATTATAAAACAAGATAGATAGAACATTTAATAACAACAACAACAACAACAACAACAACAACAACAATAAAAGGCAATATATTTACCAAGAATATAGATGTTTTACAATAAGCATGTTACAAAACACAAATAAAAAAAATATATATGTAGTCTATATTCTGGATGGTTCACTCTCATATAGCCTGGCTAAATCGAGGAGAGCGACCATAATAATAATAATAATAATAATAATATCTAATTGTTATTGAAAAACTACTTACTTTTATTTTATCAATAAACATCCATTATTAATTTGTGTTAAATTACAAGTTTTAATAATTTTTAATTTTGAAACAACTTCACTTAATATTCTTGCAACTTACACTTTAAGCTCGCAAAATGATAAACATTATTTATAAAGATTCGTGTTTAAAGTGATTTAAATGTAAACTCATGTTTCATTGCTGCTTATACGCACCAAGCGGATATGAATCATTAAATCTCAATAAATTTTTTGGAAATATATTATTTTCTTAAGCTATTACACGGCCGTAACGACTTTTTCAAATAAGGGGGGGGGGGGGGGATAGGGCTTTGAAGAGGAGGGGGCAATGAAGAGGAAACGGCACAAGCAACTTTTCAAGATTCTGTAGTAATACCTATATCAGAGAAATACAGCATGTATTTAGCGGTTCCATAAATTTACTCTTAGGGATCAAATATCCTGTATTCGTAGCCGTACTGCTCACATTACAACTCTTTTTAAGTAAAAAAGGTAATAAACTCTAAACATAAGGAGATTCAAACGTTTATATGAAGATCTGTATATCCACGACACCATACATGTGTTGAACATTACTTAAATATTATAAATACGATAACACAAGTTACTTAACAAATTGGTAGTACCAATTCCTAAATTTGCACGTAAATTCTTGTAATTTCGCGCAAGGTTTCTGCGGTAATTTATTGTGTAAAGATGTTATTTATGATGCGAAGTAAAAAATGGGCTTCAAATATAATTTTTTTTAAGAGCACGTCGTATAAGTAAATCACAGAAAACATTGTTATGTAACGTTACTACAGTTATAACGAAGTTCTTTTTAATCTATAGATTTTCTAATGTCTAACGTTCTAATGTTAGAAATTAGGAAATGCAAAAATACCATTTAAATTCCTTTAAATAATGCGAATACAAACGTTTTTAGAACAAGCCTGCCATCGCTTTTATATGCGCACTGATATATAAATATCATTTTATAATATACAATTTTAAATCCTAAATACTTGAAAGATTTTCTCAAGCTTAAAAACGACTTCAAATAAACTACAAATCAAAGAAACAAAAAAGGAAAATACAAATTCATTTTAAAAAAATCAATTTCCACAAATATTTATTGGCTACGAAAAAAATTACATGTTGATAAAAGAATTATTTTATATTTTATAAATATTGCTAATGATCCTAAAAGAATATCAAATTTTAATATCGCTCAAATTTTAGTATAACTAAAACTAATAACATTATTAAAAATTTTTGTAAAGATGAATAATTAAATTTATATTTACAACTAATAAATTAAAAAGTTGCTTTTGGATAAAATGTCGAATTTCTTCGTCGCTAAAATTCAATTTTCCTACAAGTTTTCATGTAATCTTAGTTATTGATACAAGGATTAAAACTTCTCAAGTGACTAACAATTTAATGTCTGCATTTAAGTTCATTCATTAACTGTAAAAGTATGTTGAAATATTTTGGTATTTTATATCACATTTGCGTCTCCTGAAAAAAAATAAGGTCCTCTATTCCTAAGATATTTTAGGACTTTCTGATTCTGGTGGGGAAGATGCATACCCCCAGGATCCGTCACTGATATATATATATATATATATATATATATATATATATATATATATATATATATATATATATATATATATATATATATATATATATGTGTGTGTGTGTGTGTGTGTGTGTGTGTGTGTGTGTGTGTGTGTGTGTGTGTGTGTGTGTGAGTGTGTGTGTGTGTGTGTGTGTGTGTGTCTGTGTGTGTGTGTGTGTACGGCGTGGTTGCATTTAAAAAGTTATATATTATTCATTTATGAAAGATAGATATCTACATATAGTAAAGAGCGTAGTCACATTTAAAAGATTTTGAGAAACTATCGAACATGTATATATGTCATGTATAAATAAAATTTTAAAGATAGTTAGACTATGAACTTTATAATTAATTCAATTTTGGTATTTTAAATTTTAACGAATATATTTGAAATATTACTTAAATTATTAACAAAAATCAATTCCTGTGTTTTTTTTTTAACCTAAGGAACGTGTGAGAGCACAAACTTAGGTTGCTATTTGAAGTCAAATTTTTTTTCAGAAGACAAATAAATTAACCAAACAAATTACTGTTAAAACCTATTTTCTAATATGTAAGTCGATAAGTTTCACACATAATACGCGTAAAAACAGATTATCTCGTTTAACACTTATTCTGTTTTAAAACAAAATTTTGGAAAGTAATGAGTTCATTATGTTTTTAAACTGTTAAACTAGATTAACTGGAATGATGAGAAACAGTTTGTTTTTACATACATTTTATTTTTGAGTTTGCGTTAATAATTAATTATTGATGAAAAAAACGTTTCTCGGAATAAATTAAAAATATAAAAAATTTTTTTAGACAGAGCCGACGACACGGTAGGGAGGGGGGACGGTACTGGCCCTCCCACTTTTTTTCTAAAGGACCTTCTTTTTTTTTAACGATTTTTTTTTTTTTTTTTTTTTTTTTTTTGACGAAATTGACCATTGTGCCCCACCACTTTGAAACCCGTGTCGTCGTAATTTCTTTATAGATTTTGATCATTTGAATTAAAAAAATTTTGCATCACATCCTCTCAAAAATTAAAATAACAAACTTTATTAATTAAATTGAAGATTTAATTTTACAAGTTCTTCATAAAATGTTAAACAACAAAGTTAATATTAATAATATAATAATTATACTTTTATAAATTAGTATTTTTATTATTATTATTATTATTATCAATAAACTAGGCTTAATTTTAAGCTTAACGCGTTTTCAAAGTAAATGATTGAGTAAAAGTCATTGCCAAAATTTTTTTTTTTCTATTGAAGAGTTTGTTTTAATAATTAAAACAAACTCTGCTGCTTAAAACGACTGCTGCTTAAAACGACAAACTCTGCTGCTTAAAACTCTGCTGCTTAAAACGACAAACTCTGCTGCTTAAAACGACTCTGTAAACTCAAAACAAATTAAAAAAACCACGACTCTATTTATTAGAGTCGTGTTTTTTTAACCTATTAAAATACAAGACGGTCAACCCACCTCGGATTAACCCTCTCGTATCTCTTTGTTATAAAACGGTTATTAAAATAAAAAGATTTTTAATCAATAAATTGTTTTTGAGTGTAACAAAACAAAATATATACAATAAATTAACTTATCTTATAAATAAATATTTATTAAGACGATTTAGTGATTAGTGCTTTGAAAAACCGCGAAAATGCGACAAAATCCTCAATATGCATGATGGATGCGCCAGCAATAAAGTATAATATAAATTTTAAGAATAAATTAAATTTCTTTTTACTTAAAATGGTTATTGCATGACGTTCACGTAAAACGATGACACTACTGTTAAATTATATCTTTTTTATTATTAATAAAAACCTGCTTATCTTTAACAATAACAGCAAAAAAAAGTAATTCAAAAAGGCGAAAACGTGCATATAAAATAGTGATATTAAACTAAAACTTAAAATAAATGGTTGATTATTAAGTCAACTAACATCAGGTACTAGTAAATTTAGCGGCGCCTGTTTTTAGCAATCATCTACCTATATAAATTACAAAATATTAAGTTTATATATATATATATATATATATATATATATATATATATATATATATATATATATATATATATATATATATATATATATATATATATATATATATATATATATATATATATATATATATATATATCGCATACTTAATATATAATAAATTTAATTTCTTATCTATTATTAACTTAAAATCTATTATTAATTTTATGAAAAATTTTTTTTACAATAGAAAACTTACCTTCTCAACTTTGATGCCCGTTTTAGCAACCATTTACATGTATAAATTTAATTTATTTTGAGATCAATAATCTTTTATAAAATCTTTTCATAAAATAATTTATTTAGAACTAAGATTAATTATATTCATGCAAATATATAATTCAATTTGTTTTTATAAATAAATAAATTATTTTTTACTTTTACTTTAAGTGAAGTTTTGTTTTTTTAATTGATATTGAATTGTTTTACCGGATTATGACGTCTAAACTAATTGATTAATTAATTAAAGCGTGTGAAAATAATTTATTTTTATTATTATAATTAACCGCTAATTTTTTACGGAATCTGGGAATCTGGTGATCCAGGTCACTGAATCAGTGACCTGAATAGTTATATATCTCCTGATTCCTCAACGCTGATTCCTTATCCCCTGACTCCTTAACGCTGTAATTACAACTTAGCGATTAATTCAAATAAAAATAAATTATTTTCATAAATCTTTATAAATTTTTAAAAGTAATTAATCAATTAGTTGAGTGATCATTCGGTGAAACATAATAAATAGTAAATACTTATTTATTTAATTACAAATAAATAAATTATACATTTGTAATTAAAAAAATAGATGTTTACTAATTATTATGCTTCACCGGATGATATTATATTATAATAAATTATATATTTGTATAATTTCGAATAAATATAATTAATTTCAATACTTAATAAATATTTTTTAGACAGCTATTACATTATTGATATCAAAATAAATAAAATTTATATATGTAAATGATTACTAAAAAACGCTAAAGTTGTCCCTGTATTTAATATTTTTTAAAGATGCGCAATATATATATATATATATATATATATATATATATATATATATATATATATATATATATATATATATATATATATCAAACAAACTGACTGCCATGTTCAAAAGATAAAATTAAAATAAGTATTCCATTAAATGTGCAAAAATTGGAAATTAAATGCATGAAAATTTCCTTTCTGCACAGTTAATAATAAAATCACAATCTTAAATATTTAAAGAGATTAAAAATACAACAGCACATCCCAATTATATATATATATATATATATATATATATATATATATATATATATATATAGGAGAGCCCGATATATATATATATATATATATATATATATATATATATATATATATATATATATATATATATATATATAGGAGAGCTTGATATATATATATATATATATATATATATATCGGGCTCTCCTATATATATATATATATATATATATATATATATATATATATATATATATATATATATATATATATATATATATATATATATAGGAGAGCCCGATATATATATATATATATATATATATATATATATATATATATATA